GTTGGGGGGGGTTATGGGGATAAAGAGGGCCACTATGGGGCTGTTGGTGGTGTTATTAGGGTTCTGAACCCCAAGAAAAAAAAAAAAAAAAAAAACTTCGCGGGGTGCCGACGATCCCTGACCAGTAGGTGACGAGATCTGTCAGCGGGTCGGCAGCCGACCAGTCAAGGGCCGCCGACCGTCGGGGGGTGCAACACTGCCAAAAGGGGAAAGAAGCAGAAGTCTCGCCATTTTCTTTCTAGATTCATGCTTGTAATGTCGAAGCCTAGCAAATTAGGATAGACGGACATAGACCGCATAAGATCTCCACTTGTCTCTCAATCCCCTAAATGGAGACTAATACTCGTTTCTGAGAGCATACCCTGAAATCCCACCATGTCTGTATGCTCTGAATGCTCTAGAGACCATTGGCTCAATACACACCCTGACAACAAACCATGTTTCCCGTCAGAAAGCAAAACCAGTTTCCCACCACAGAAAGGAAAGGGGAGCCTGCAATAGCTCACAAGGAAAAGAGGTGTCGACGTAATCACCCTTTCCAAAACTATTAGCAGGAGTAAAAATTCTCAGACCTGGACAAATCTCTCTCTCTCTCTCTCCGTAACAAACTCAGAATCTCCAGCCCCCAAAACCGTCGACTGTCATCCTGTGGTCCCCAATTTGTGTGTTGTGGCCCGAGAACTGTCTACTGGTTCCCTGTGGCCAGAACATTTGGGCCTCGAACTGCCACCCTAAAAACTATGGATTGCTTCCCTGTGGGCCCAAGAACTCTGGTCCTATGGGTCCAAAACTGTGGGGCCCAATAACTGTGCAGAGCTTCCCTGTGGTCCCCCAGACAGTCACAGACCAAGAACTGTGTACTGTTTCCTCGCGGCCCTGTAAAGCCCCAGGCAAATCTGTGGGACTGTGACCCCGAAAACTGTGGAGTGCTCACTGTGCGCCCAAAAACTGTAGGCCCGTACACTGCAGGCTACCAAATTGCGGGCCCAGTGCTTTGGACCCGAAAATTCCTGGGCCCAAAAATCAAGGGCCTAGAACTTGAGCGCCTGAAAACTGTGGGCCCACAGGAAAGCAGTGCAAAAGTTTACGCATCCAAAATGAGCTGTGCACATTGCAGGGCATCTCTTTTCTTTGGGCACAGCTCTTTTCTTTGAAAGCGAGGCCAAAATGAGCGGCGCACATTGCAGGGCATCTCTTTTCTTTTACCGTTGCCTCGCTTTCAAAGAAATATGGTAAGATGCGTGCACTTCAGACAAGACTGGCACAAAGTTTACACACCAGATTGTTAGCCGTTCGACGTTTCAGTACGAACAACTTTTGAAGTTCGATGGCCAAACTTTTGAACAGCCCTTACGTACATATTGATGTCCCGTGTGTTACGGAATCGCACCCAAACTTCACACGCGTTCCAGTCCGAGCAAGAAACAGGACAGAGAGACTTCAGCCCGCGATGTCGCAGAAACCACCCACCTTCCAAGAGAGATTGTAGGCGCGGTATAAGAAAGCTCCACCAACCAAAGCAGCATCTCTCGATACAATCAACACAACCAAACCGGCTGCAGACAGACACATCACAGAGAGCGAAGAAAAAGCATTCAACCACCGCTACATGGCCCCAGCCAAATTCAGAAACAAGACCGTAACTCTTCGAACAAATCGGAGGCTCGGGGCAAGCGAACAGAAAAGGCTGCGGGCACCACCAGCCAAAACGGAAACAAAAATGCAGCGTTGGCATGTCGGCAAACCGTGAAGCGCAGTGGGAATCCGCCTCTCGTACAAAAGAGGCACCGATGTGCTGATCCTTTAAAGAAGAAAACAAATGACAGAAATAACAAAAATGACCAGAATGACCAAAATGATACAAACAACAGGAAGCCAGCCAGACCCGGCCAAAATATTGAAAATAACAAAAATGAGCAGAATAACCAGAATGACCAAAATGAGACACAGAACAGGAAGTCACCTTTTCACTTCTAGAAAAGAACTTTGGCAACAATCTTGAGAGACGCACACGGTAAAGAGAGCACTCAATTGACACCCATCCCAGGAACAACCCCGAAAAGTAAACGGCGTGCATACTCACGCTACCTTAGGACCCCCTTTGGCCGACCTTTTGAGCTGATTGCAGTTATACTAACTTATACATACATCAAGCGTGCACCAGAATCGTGGTCAGATACATCCAGTAAAGTGTAGCAGGATCGTGGTCAGATACAACCAAGAAAGTCTCTGTGTGAGTACGAAGAGTTCTCAGATGTTGCCAATCCATCGCCACTCGACGTGATAAAGCCAACTCAAACAAAAAAAAACAAAAAAACAAAAAAAAAAAAAACAGAGGAAGCCAACTCATACAGCCACCCGCAAGAGGACAATAAATTCATATATTCACACAAGAACAGAAACCCAAAAAAATGTCCGTCCACGCAAGACGACAAAACCAAAATCTGTGAATCTGGAAAAAATAAAAAGACATCACTCGACAAAACAAATGTAAAAGCAACGAAAAAACTTCACAATGCCATTCAAAAAAGCCTAAATGCCTTGACAGACAAACAGCCAAAATGCCTTGAGAGACAAACACCCGTCAATTCACAGATCGAAATGAAGTGAGTTCCCAAGGCCTGGTTGGATCAAGCACAAGGCAGATGAACCATATCCCCCCCAACCACACAAAACACAACACGCAAACGCACACAGATGGACACATGAATAAGACACACACACACACAGACACACACATGCGCACACATGCACAAAACACACGTACACAATAAAGTTGAAAAAAAAGCAATAAACACACTCATAATGACTCTTTCAAAGAAAAAAAAATCACTCCAGCAGCAAAACTGGGCAAACTTCCCCAAAGACAACAGATCGAAACCTGTCAACAAATGACAACAAAGGAAGAGAACCTTAACACACCAACCACCATAGACTTTACTTACAGAAAAAAAAAAAAAAAAAAAGAGATGGACAGCAACTCCCACGGAGATCGCAAACTCTACCGTCTTCACCCGAATATAACGCCCCGTCATTATAGCCGTATTTGTCACAACTTTCAGCCCAGATACCGCGATTGCATGGGTCCTGGGGACCATCTCACGCAAGTGTGTACATGCCATGCATCGTGCTCCCACACACAATGAACAGTAGTCTCACAATAGACAAAGATAGAGAAGATGAGGACCGAGTTTCACAGCTTATATTATCAGAAATATGAATACAAAGTGTTTCAAAGTTCCCCTGAGTCCAGCGCTCATCAGCGCAACACCAATATCTTGCCAACTCATCAATCTGACTTCCAGTGAATCAGTGCTACCCCTGCAGATAGTCTCCAAGTCATCAATGTGGTCACTACTCATCAGCGCCACCTCTGCAGGTCACATCCAACTCAGGTAAGTATCTTCCATAGCCAAACCTTGAATGAACACTCTCAGCCTCAATCCCTTCCTCCTATGATGCATACACACTCTTTAATACTCATGAGGATCTACTCTGGATACTACTCATAGCTACATACTAATCCTCTACTACTAATGCTAACTCGCTGGGCAGCTATGGCTGCATCACTTCCAGCGTACAGGCTTCTTCCTCCCTCCAGCGCGTCTTCTCCTCCAGCGCTGCTCCTCCTGACTCAGCGCACAAGTGCACCAGCACTTCCACGCATTGCAGCCAGTGGAGATCTGGCGAGGAATGAGGCAGGCAGCTCTTTTTATAGTGATGGCCACTCCTCGCTGGGTCTGCATTGGCTCAATTCAGCCTCTCCCTTTGTCCCAGACCCTGCATTACATGTGTCCCAGTACAGTCCCAATGAAGTTCAACTGCTGCTGAGGCACTTCGGCCTGGATTTGGACTTGAAAGTCTGGATCTGGACTGACCCCTTGACTTAGACCAGAACTGGGACTGTGCCTACTGACTTCACTTTCGGACAGACACAACTCTAAACGAACAGACACATTTACTACTTGAACAGGCACTTTCCATTGCACGAACAGGTACACTGCCTGCACGTACAGACACACCCTTACCCGAACAGACATGACATACACATCTCCTGGTGAACAGGTAAGTCTTTTGACAATGCCCTTTGCCTTAGATTTAGATGTGCCTGTTGATATGACCTTTGACCTGTTTTCACGTTTCTGAGCCCTTGCAAGATACCTTTTCACAATGCTTTACTTTTACAAGGCCCGTGCTGCTCTATTTTTACAAGGCCTGAGGCCTATATCGGGTAAAGGCCCTTTTAGATAATTACCAGGCGTTCTATTCGGGTGAAGACGGTAGTGAGAGGTAAGGTCAGGGAGTGCACCAAAGAAAGGCGAACTCACGTGAGAGATATCCCTTGACTGCCAAGGCAGTGGTCAAGCAACACACAAGAACCTGCACACCAAACACGTCCAAGTGCATGTTCCAACCAATTTAGTATGTCAAGAGCACAACCTCACAGACAGAGGGAGTATGCCATAATCTTTTTTCCAGCTCCTAGACAGGCACATGGCACATCGAGGTTTATCTACTAACAAGATGGTCTGATCATATGGTCACACTTGACACCAGGTTAAATAGACCAATTATGGCATCAAACATACACTTTGATTGCTGGAATGAATATCTGCCGCGAAATATGCTTCCCCATTGAGCAGCTGGTGCGATTCAAACACCAGGGACGACGGATCGACCACCGTCGTCCCCAGCAGTGATCAATGCCATAACTCACACAAAGGGGTCCTATGAACAGCACAGATGTGATTGATCGTTCAAACGGCGTCCAGCTCGCAGTTGTCTAGCCTCTCCACAACCAACCAGGAAGCCATAGTAACCATTCAAAAATCTTTCTTGCCCGTTTATGATCCAGATTCGTTTGAATCTGACGAAACATTTTCAATGCATTGCTACCAAATCCAGGACCAGATAAGCTGCAGTGTTGTATACTGGAGTGAGGACCAGTGTTTTCTCTTCCACCTGCAGAGACTGGCCCTAGTTCACAGGGCGGTCTCAAAACGGAACTGGGGGGTTACCCGCTAAGTTTAACGATCATGGACTCTCTTCAGGTCAGGGGTCCGCATACTGGGGGGTTCCCTGGTCAGGGGTCGGCATACTGGGGGGTTCCCTGGTCAGGGGTCGGCATACTGGGGGGTTCCCAGATATTTTGAGCCCACATGGCCGATTACGTGAAACAACCTTCGGGGCTCGGTATACTGGACAGAAATGACTCCAGGCAAGAAAAGAGAAGAGCATATGTGCCGGTTCGGTTTCTATTGGGCCCTTGACGAACTTCGGATCAGAAATAAGTGACCCCCAGGTACTGGTGATTATATTTGCCTTTTTTCTTTCCCTTCCTTTTTCTGTTCTTCTTAAACCACTAGTACCTTTGCGGCGTGGGAAAATAGCGGGCCTCGGGTGGGCCTCCGACCTTTTCGGAGGCGGAAACGAAACGACGGCCGCCGATCGGATTTATCAATGGCAGCCATCGTCAGGCCCGGCCTCCGACATTTTAGGAGTTTGGGAAAACGTCGACTTTTCCCTATTTTCCCAACACTGGCAGAGGTACTAGTGCTTTACCACCAGTACCTCCACGTTCTTTGGCCGTTAACGCGGTAGCCGTGGCTGAATCGGTGCACAGCACGGGTCCATATGCATTTGCCTCAGAGCCTCCCCAGAGGAGGGCCTAAGACCCCCCCAGGGGTACTGGTGTTTTACGAGAGTGACCACCTCGAGATACCATCGTCGAACTAACAGACCTGAGGTTATTCAGAATTAATTGTTTTTTAATACTTTTTAATAAGTTTTTATTACTTTTACTTTCTAATACTTTTTATTCATCTGGTTCCACCAGGATTCGAACTCAGCTCCATATTCCAACACTTCACTGCTTCCGTCGGGATTCGAACTCAGGTCTGTACCAACTGAGTATGCTATCTGAGAGAGAATTTCTCATCCTAGACAGCATGCAGCGGAGCCTCCGTTTCCACCCCTCCCAGTTGCAGTCTCCATTTTAACCACCAGGCCTCCGAAACTCATTTTCCAAATTCTCTATTCTGCCCGCATCTCAACTACCAAACAGTTGTTGCTGTCTCACCTGGCCATGACAGCCAAATGCATTGCATTTGCAAAGGAATACATTTCTATAAATCATTTTTCCTTACATTTTGTAAAGATCGTTCTCCCCCTGTAGAACCGCACGTCCCCTACAAACCTGATCTTTTTTCTTTTTCTTTTTCAGGCTGGCCTCGGAGATTTTTTTGATTATTATTTTGTCAGGGCTTATTGAGTCCGGATACCCCTCCCTGGGGACCACCCACCCACCCACCTCCATCATGCCGCACCTCTCCGCTGCACCGGTCTAACTCACAACTGTACGCCGGATAGCGCCCTTTTTTTTTTTTTTTTTTTTTTTTTTTTTTGCCGGATAGCGCCCTGGCGTACTTGTGGTTCAAAATAATCCCTGACAAGTTCTACATTCCTTTCTTTCCTTTTGCTTTCCATAAATTCCATTTTGTTTCGACCCGTTCAGGGCCATGCTAATCTTCTGTTTCATTCCATAGGTTGTTCTTGTTCAGATTCGTAAATCTAAGATTATGTGGGAAAACACTATTACATCAAATGATTGCACCCCCGGAATTTAGGACTCTGCATACGCACTATGGGCCTTTCACACACTTACATTGGTCACTAGAACTGTCACAGCTTCACTAAAACTATAGAAGCAATGCATTTGTCGCAGCGGGAGGTCAGGGGAACATCGGGGGAGCTATGGGGAGGATGAGAACGACCCTCTCCTCCTCCTCCTCCCCTCCCTCTCTCTCTCTCTGTGTGTGTGTGTGTGTGTGTGTGTGTGTGTGTGTGTGTGTGTGTGTGTGTGTGTGTGTGTGTGTGTGTGTGCCTGCAGTAGCCTCAATGTTTGGGGCAGCTGTCTAGGGAGAGTGGGAAGGCAGTGGACTGCTGGGCCCTGGCGATGTGGAGAAAGTGGCCTGTGTCATTGTGCCGGCACCAACTGCATGCAGATATGAACTGTCCACGTGCATGGACACCCTCGATGCGAGGCTTACAATTCAGAGACCGGACGTAGACCTGTCCTGTTCACTTACATAGGGATTCTTTCACTGGTGGGGATAAGTATAAGCTACATTCACTTGAAAGAGTCTATAGTGCAAACTTACCTTCAGTTGAAAGGGTCTATAGTGCAAGCATACCTTCGACCACATAATCCCTTCCCTCACTTTAACCACTACCACAGACCCTTCTTTATTCAACATAAAATTCTCCCCTCTTGAGTCTTGACAAAACTGAACCTATCGCCACCAGGTTAGTTAATCCAAACTGCAGTCCCCACATAAGGGGGGGTCGTAGGTTGGGGTGAAAGTGCCGACATACGTCGGGTTCCAGAGGGTTGATTTGAGCAAATAGAGAATCACCTTATCTGCAAGTGGGTCAAGGTAGGAGCCCACCACCGACACACTCCCATAACGCTTGGCGATGAATCCATCCAACTGCGGTCCCCACAACAAAAGCCGGAAACCATGCAATCGCCCGAGCCTGGTCACTCTGCACGATCACCTAACATGAACCACTGCATCAACAAAAGACTACAGCACTCTGCAAAGTCACATCGTCACTTATACCACCCAAAAAAAAGCAAAAATACAGTTTAAATACCCCTTCCCTCTTTTCATCCTAATTTGCCTTAACATGGGTCATAAGGGGAGGGTCCTAAGCATAGGCGCATTTTCTTTTTTTTAATTCAAACAAATGGGCGATATCACCATCTCTAACTGACCAGCCCTAGGTAATTCAGACGCAGCACTCATTCATCTAGTTCCATCGGGATTCGAACTCAGGTCTACATTTCCAGCATTTCAAAGGTGCTTTCCACATAATAATCAACGTGTAGGCAAAACACATCGGCCAAACACATCAGCCAAACAGTGTCCCCCTTATAATAAACCAATCATTAGCATTCCCATCTCAATTACCAATCATTGGAATTCACAAATTTCACATCTCAATTACACATGCAACAGGTCAAATTCATTGCAGCTTCCAGTTGGCCTATGGTTCACTGGGCAGCTCTCTCTCTCTCTCTCTCTCTCTCTCTCTCTCTCTCTCTCTCTCTCTCTCTCTCTCTCTCTCTCTCTCTCTCTCTCTCT